TTCGAAAACGACACATCAAATAACAATGGTCAGATGGAAAAGTGGCATCGGTTATAAATGAAAACATCGGAAGGCGTGAGATACTGTTCTACTACAAAACTGTATTGTCACGAACTTTGTGCTGTTTTATGTTTATAGGTCATTTCGAACTACCATGTGATTAATACCCGGGAGCACACTGTTTTTTTCTTTTATCGTTGATGAAGCACTAAACGTGGCACGTGACATACTATGTACGCCGCTGTTGCTGGAAGAAGCTAGCGTATTGCAGTGAAATAATAATAACAGACTACTGACTACGAACACATGGTGAAAATTTGATGATACGATCCGGCTGGTTTTCTTTGTCTACGCGCGCGAACGAACGTCCAACATTCTCAGATTGAAAGTCAACCCAATATCAACGTGTTGCTCGTGCAATATAGAGCTCAAACGATAGGTTTCCTATCAGAATGATTTGATGTAGACGATTACACGAGAAAGCCTAATCGCGTGGCCCCAGTAAACGCATCTGATATCGTATTACAATAAGAATAGTTCTTAGCGCAATATGGACCAACAGCATCATCGCACTCTTTGATTCTCTACAAACAGATTAACACGGAGCTCAATATTCAATACAGACAGATGGAAGGAAGCCGGATAAAAGAAAACGAACAAGCTCAATTTCAGATAGTCTTATCCACTGAATTTGCGTTAGGGTTCTCGATTGATAGACTTTATTTTCGGACCAATGATGAGCCAGATACCGTGAAAACCGTACGATTTTGATATAAATCAAGTTTTTGAATCACATGGAGCTCACTCAAGAGATCCCCGTTCTCCATCATATATGTTCTTGAGGATTATCTTTCTCAGTTTTCGTAACGATTTAATTTTCCCTGTAGTACGATGACTTTCGTTGCGGTTTTTTGGCGACCAATGAGGAAGGAATAAACTTAAGGGTTGAAAGGCCGCAGAAATATGGAAACAGAAAACAAATGAACTAGCTCTGCACAGGAAGCAGAATCAGGAGTCACTGTTTAAAGCACTCAATCATATAAATCAGTGACACTTACCACTGGCCAGGTGCCCAACTAAGATCTTGGATACCACATTTGTCGCTGATATCACTGGTAAGGGTTTTTGTAGCCTTATGAGATGTATTCGGAACCCCTCTGGTGTTCTTCCGCTACCTGTCTCGGCAAGCGTTGCATGGTGAGGAAGCCTATCCGGTGACCAACCCAGCAAATGCCAAAGTCAACTTGATCTAACGAGGTCAAGCAAATGATCCAATGAGTGACAGAGACCAACCAGACCTTTGCATCTAATTTCCACGTTATCTGTTCGGTTGCTAAATCAACCCCGTGCAAGGCGACGTAGAAAGCGGTGTCCGAACTGCGAAATTCTATCTTTATTTCCTGTCCCCTTAGTGTCTAGGTATTAAGACGTAAGAGTAACATACAACGTATCCTTCACAGAAGACTGAGTGTCGCGTAGGCGGCAGTTTTCTCCAATCTGCAAACGCCAACCCAGCCTTGCGTTTGCCTACCGACAACTCGTTCGTGATGCGTCTGCCGGGTAAGACGTAGCGCCCGAACGGTGAAATTTGTTGACTTTTTATTTTGTCTGATATGAATCCTGCAAAGTATATACTAAACATGACTACATTACCACTCAAACCATACAAAAAAAATCCCGTAATTGACCTCGATCTTCCCTTGTGAGTAAGATATCACCTAGGGACGAGCTTCCACGGACCCCATAAAAAGCTTCTAGCAGTATATATAAATATATATATATATATATATGTAAACTGCTACGAATACCACGACGATAACAACAATGATACAGCACGTGGTGTAAAGAAGGTTAAACAGTTACAATGGAATGGTGTTTCACCAAACACTGTTTGACATTTTTGCTAGTTTATTGTTTTTTACGGGGCACGGAATTTAAACACGCCCACCGTATAACATTCACGCCACTGAATTCTATTGGTATGTTTCCCGTCTATAACCATCGACAATCCTCATCCCTTGGACCCTAACCTGCAAGATGGGCTTCACCAACCGAAATCAAAGCTCAAGTTAGCTTCTTCATACCTCAACGCCATGTCATGGCATGACCGCCGCGCCGCTTCTTCCAGCCTTGCTCAGCACGTGCAAAAAGAGCACGGAAGGGTAGACAATAGGCAGACATACACAAAACATAACCAAGCTATCGGAAGTGATGCAGAGCGATCAGTTCTTTTATAGAACGACTATCCGCACCGAACACACGACGACGAATCTCGTCATTGCTCACCTGATGTTCCAACCAGATATGGGCAATGTTTCGGAGACATCGGTGGGCGAATACAGAAAGTTGATTAGCATTTTCCACTCAGAGCGACCAGGTCCCGCAACCGTAGAACAAAACGCTAGGAACGGCTGTGATGTTCAAAATCCAGTTCAGGGACAAAGGTCATGGCCAAAACACAGTTGTCGCGGATTTTCAAAAGCTACCCCCACTTTCGCTATTCGTCAAGTAATCTCTTCCCTAACACCAACACCGGCTGCGATCAACCTTTCGAGATACTTAGAGATCTCAACTACTTCCAGCTGATCAAAACAGAGGGTGAGAGCAGGCACATGCTCCTGCTAGTCTTGAATAAGCACTTTGCATCTGGACGGCGCAAAGCACTCTGGGAGGAGTTCGACTGCACCGTTTGCTAGAGCGAACAACGCATTCTGTGGAACATCCCGTAGGGGAAATTTGAAGCGGAATGGGGATATTGAGCAATCTTGTTGCACTTCACTGGCCGCAAAGGGTAAGACGATACAACTCTTTGAGGATCGATACATACATCTAAACAGTTCCATAGTGAGATTCTATCAGTGGAGTCAAAGGCCGCGTGAATGTCTAAGGACAGGATGATCGTTCGTCGTCGATAGGCACGACAGTACCCTAGCAACTGTCGGAGGATCAAAACTTGAACGATGCAATCACGACCGGCGCGAAACCCAGCCTGCACCTCGCGGGCATGTTATTCCCAAGTCTTAAATAATCTACAAAGAATAACGAACGCTAACGGCTTTGACGCTATCAGAATGAGGCTTACACCCTTGTGGTTGGAGCAGACATTGCGCGGGTCCTTTTTAAAGATGGCAACTACAGTCGATCCCCTCCACGAGGAGTGGACCTAATCAGTGTTCCAAACTAACAAGCCTTACTTCACCATCATTAAATAGAGCTGCGAGAAAGCCATCGGAGCCCGGCGCATTGTGACGTCCTAAGGCTTGGACCTCCTTCCGGATTTCCGTCTCGGAGGGCGAGTCTGTTGAAACAGACTGTGGGGCGTATACCGGAATAGCTGTGCGAGAAGCTGACGCTGGTGGTCCGCTAACCTGCTTCGAAGTGCTCCACCCAGCGTGCACGAGGTCGCTGTTGATTACAAATGGACGAGCCGTTAGCATCGCAGATCGTTTCGGTCATACTCTAAGATTACCTACCAGTGACCTGAATGAGATGGAACAGCTTACGGGAGTTTTCCATGACGGTAGCACGTTGAGTCTACCGAAGTTCATGGACCCTGTGTACGCTTGCATTGAGGTTACGTCTTGTTACGAGTCATAATTTATTATGCTCGCTGTCGGCCGGGATTGATCGTCATGCGTCAAGAAGACGGCGAGATTCTGCAGAAATCCAGTGTCGCAGCACGTGCCAGACTACAACTAACTAAGCCAGGAGAATGCAGAGCATTCTTAATAAGCGACCGGTGCTGGTTGATGTCATCGGTTTTCTTTATTACACACCTATGTGTGTGTGGGGGGGGGGGGGAGCGAATCCCATAGTCACGAGGACCTGCTGTTCAGTGATCGTACCAGCAACACACATAAGTGTTTTGTTCGGTTTAGACGTACGAATGACACGAGTGACTCTAGCCTAACCCCCAACGATAACGCGGTGAGAGGACGCAGCTTCAGACAACAGTCAGTGTGTATTCTTTGACTAGATATCGATACGCAAGTATATAGAACAAATCACGCATACGAGAACGGTGCAGTGACGCACCAATCAACCAGATTGCGTTCATAACATATCGATTAATAGATTGGACAAACGCTGACTGACTCGTTCTAATCGGGCTCTGCTTGTCTGACGCGTTACGAATGTGCATATGGCCTGACTCGGAGGAGTGCGCGATCGGACGAGTTGCTCCGTCCTGACAATAAGGCCCCAATAGGTTAGGCGTGGTATTGAACAGGATGACAGTAGAGCTGCCTTAGTTCTAGCTTTTCAGCCAGCGCGTTTTGGAAGACAGTTAGACAGGCTGGTTCGGACAGCTTATTACAGTCTAATCGTAGTTGTGTTTTGCGTTTGAAACGCCAACCAAAGCACATAGACAGGTTGGCGCATATTATTGCGTGATAGAATTCGAGGGGAGTGATACAGTACGACCAGGGGTCTTTTATGTAGTCCCACCATTCGTGACTTATCGCGATGTGGTCGATCTGCGTCCTTCGCTGACTCGAGAGGTCGGACGCCAAGTAGCGTACCGCCAGTTGGAACGTCTGAAGTTCATACTGGCGGTGGTCGGAACATAGACCCGAAAGTTACCATATTTACGAGCGACAGAAATCTAACCCGTAAGGAAATACCAGATGTGCCTCACTCGAAGTCAGTCGACCTATTATAGCATTCATATCTCCTGCTTAAACCACGATATCAGCCAGACAAGCATTACGCAAGAGGCCGTGTAGCTTTCGAAAAAGAGCGTTTTTCGTTTGTATCTGGGCTACAGTAAGTGAGCAAGTACGGTGAGTCAACAAACTAGTTGCGTCTTTTGAAGCGACGGATGCTTACTTTGCACAAATGTCTAAGTCTTACTGCGTATAATCAACTGTTGACAGGAATCCAATCCAGGATTGCGGTTTCAGATCTCTCACTGAGATTCACGCAAGACCAGAAGCCGCAGCCTCAAGGTTCTCAGAAAGAGGTAAGTGAAACTTCGCAGATTGGTTTGATGTGGCCTTAAATCGGATGGTGGAGCTGAAGTCTTCAATGTGAGTACCTTGGTTACAATATACATCGATGGTTAGAGTCTCGAGCGTACGAGCCAAACACGCCTGTGGTCCTATACGCATCACAGTACGCACATTAAACGTGGCTAGCATGAAAAGGCACCGAGGACGGATTCAGCTGATGGACGATTTAGTGAGACTTGAAAGACAGCCGAAGTAGAACCTGAGAAAACAGTGGCAGAATTTTCATCCGAGGTACCACTATTAGCACTACCGTCTGAAGAACCCGAGAGAGATGGAGGTAAAGGTAAAATGCGGGAAAACATGGTGTGTACGGCGTAGAATGTTTTTCGTTTGATGAGGAAGCTTCTGAGTGTAGAGTGGTACGAGCAGGAACGTTCATGGCTTTGTGCGTTGTGGGCTATCGTATTACTTGGTAACCCGGTCCCGAGTAGGTCCAGTTCGAGGGTGCGCTCAAGCCTTTGCGCAACCAAGCAGGGACTGCAAAGCAGCAGCGCATAGGCATCATTAACATAATCTTACCGAGTGAAGAAAGCTGCAACGTATTTTTGTAGACGACTGACTAGCACGCTAGTTTTATAGTGCCTTTACGTAATTCACCACTGAAAGTTTGAGGATCATGGGTTTCGCTTTACATCATGGGCATGACAGTACACAGTCATGAACGTTCTGGTCTCTCTAATCACTCGCAAAGTAATCACGAACTCATCGTTCTCGCTAATATTCGCGGACTAAAATGAAAAATGGATTACGTGCACCGATTTCTTCGTTCTGTTTCTCTTCCATTCTTAGTTAAAACCGAACCGCCTCCTCAGACACTAAAAGTTTTCATCCAGCCTTACGACAATTACCACTGATCTTTCCTTTGTCTTCAGTTTGCAGTCATTGGTGTATAGTCGGTTGTTTTTCTGTTCCTCGGAGCTTACTCTCCAGGTGACTTTGGACTGCCCATCTCGTATACAGACAATTATTCGCTCTCATCAGATTAAGTTACCAGGTATAGTACTTCTCTATTGTTATCTTCCTTCCCCTCACCCGAGCCGTCAAGTTACGGAACGCTCTCTCATTCTGTTTTAACACAAACTTTCCCTGTTTAAAAGTAGGATCAATAAACTCACTCCTACGTGAATGTTCACCAACTCTTACCATATTTATTTGACTATGGAACTTTCCCTTTATACTGTATTTCACACGGTGTAATAGAAAGAGCCTAAGCATGCGTTGCTGTTTAAGGAAACGGTAAGCAAACGAAATTGTTCCTTACAATTTAGTGAGAAAATTGTGTGGAAAAGTGAATATAAAAAGACGGCTAAATTAACCAACCTGGAGTCCAGCGCAAAATCGCTCTCCAACAGAAGCGAAATCAGCCGCCCCAATATATTCTTCGGCACGATCCAAGAATGTCTGATTCAATTCCACCATATCGACTAAATTGAATCGAGGTAATAGGAGATGTTTCGTGACGCGACCGATCCCGGAACCGCAATCTAGCGCATACGCCGTAGTTTTTGGTCCGTACTTATCAAGGAATGCGTGTGAATCTTGCATATCCGGAACATTCAACGATGAGTAGCCACCAAGCATACCATCTACTGTGGCCGGCACCTGAACCCAATAATCTTTCGCTTTTGAATAAAAGGTCGGAGGTGGACTACCAGGAGACGGAGATTCCGACTCAGAACAAGCTTCTGGGACTAGAGGAGTTAGANAGCCTGTTTAGGTTTCGTTGTTGATTTCGGAGACGACTTTGTTTTGGATCCCCCGGATGGCGCAGAAGCAGCATTTGTGTTAGTAGCTGGCTTTGGTTTACCAGGTCCCGTTGCACTAGGTATAGGAGAGGATTTCATTTTGGCGACCACATTTCCATTAGCACTTGGTTTGGACTTAGATGTAGTGTTTACACTGGTGATTTGCTTTGTGTTGGGGCTAGTTTTAACTTTCGTCCCGGCAGTGACTGGCTTTGATGCGTCAACTGACGACGATATCGGGTTCGTGTCATTTGAAGACGTAGTGGGTGGTGCGACTGGTTTCACTCCAGATCGAGCAACCTTGGAGGGTTGACTTTGTAACTTTTGGTTTGAGGTAACAGATGCAGACGCCTGGAAGTGAAAAAATGAGAGTCAGTAATTACGACTGATGAAAGATACAATACAATATATTTAACACGGATTTCAGGCTTACATGCGGAATCGTATTGAAACGTTCCTAACAAATAAAAATAGATAGACAACCAAAGATGCCCCTGTTGGAAGATCACAGCATGTGAATAACGTTTAAATGTACACTTAAGACTGAAACAATCAAATTTGCCATTTTCCTTTTAAACAATCCTATCCCATGTCCTCTTCTCGCCAAATATTTACAGAGGTGGATACAGTAAACTACTTCTATGAGCAAAGTGTTAGCATGTTAGCATAAAAAAGATGACGGATGCTGGAGACACCGTCTGTAGTCTGATAAGTTCCCATGGATAATGATGACGATCCATGAAGCCGATTTTTGCTAATGAATCCACCAGAGTACTATCGTGGCACTGGGATCGCTGGCAATTTTCGACGGTTAGCCAATTACTCGAGTAACTGGGTGACTCGTATGAACATTGGCCTACGTATACCTAGTACATCAGCCACAAGCACACAGTTCAAGCAACTACAGTCACAGAAACTGAACTTAAATTCGCAGAGTAAGTAATTTGCGAGAAAATTGCCTATAGATGTGTGGCAATCATTTCACAATAGCTGAAACAATCAGAAACGCGAAAGCAGAGAAGTAAAAACAACAATTATTCACAGAATGATTTATTCACGATACCGGGTTACATGTAAATATATTTCTGAAACGAATAGAGATGACGAGCAGAAGCCGGTCCCACAAAAAGTGACATCACTGGCAAATGTGTCCTCAGGCACGTCGTTGAGTGAACGAAGGACTGGCACCTAGGAGCACATAACGAGATAGAGATAAAAACAAGTAAGTAAAAAGGAAACAACCACTTGATCGTAGATAGCAGTATGTCTCAGAAGAAGTCTGAGATAATGTATTAAAAAACTATAGCACCAATCGAGAACATCAGTGGAGAAGTGCTTTGACGTGCGGATGCACAACACACGACGACAGCAAGAGACGCGTCTGTTATCCTGTGTTAGTTACCATCCACAAACTTCCTTCGAAAAGTTACATATTCTGTTTCATTTCGTTTTCAAAATTACAGCCCAAGAAGAGCGAAATATCACGCCGGACAAAGTTAAACGTCCCACAGTGACGAACACGGTGCGATAAATTAAAACTATCCAGAAACCGAAGGAATCAAGCTATGGTCCGAACTGTTTCATAACGCTAATATACAGTGAGTGCTACGTGAAAAGACCAGAGAAGTTAGCTGGGCATTCGATACAGAGAACTAACTGATCTATTTAGCCCAATGAAGTGGTGGCAACGGACCGGCGGATAAGTGAACCCAGAAAACCAAAGTAGCCATATCCTAAAAGATCCCATTGGAAATATCAGTTCAACTAATGCAGATACAAGTAGATGAACAAATACTCGCTACGTGCTGTACCAGTCTGACCGGACAAATGGATTAAAAAAACGAGATTAGTACTACACAAACAGGGGCCACATATTTATTTAACTGCTCACTTGCCTGAGCAATGTGTTATGCTGCTGGATAGGCTCTCTCTCTCAATGAAAACATTAACCAGTGGACTTGATCATGCAGGTCGTNGTTGGGTTCAATAGACGGGGAACTGGGGAAATAGTTTAGTCAATAAGAACACACTAACTTGATGCCGCTAACATCTTTTCCGAAAAACTACATTTATTCACTTCCTATATTATTCATTTAGCGATATTTCTAGTTTCTGGTTGAGTCTCGTTCTTTTTTTTTTACTCAGTCCATGAAAGTGGGAAATTGACGGTTGGTTGAAGTAAGATGGAGTTGGTTAACCACAGGTTCCCGGTATAGGAAGTGGTTTAGACCAAGGAAGCTAACGGATTTTACAATGAAGAAAAAAATTGTGCATGTAGGCAATCTAAATTTCACTTACCGAAGGGAGATGCAGGAGGGGTTTGCCCCAGAGGTGAGCCCATAGCTAAACTGCCGAACGTGGGCCCGTCCGTCTTCGCGGCCAAACTGTGAAAATAGTTTAAAAGGACACGATAAATANATAAATATCACAGTTTTGAGCGAAGGACGCACACATATCTAGAAGATTCCAAGTGTTTCTGACAGTTTCCGGTACGAACTTCATAGACGACATTATCCATGAAGCACAAATTACGAAGAGGTACAGCGCGGTCACTTAAACAGATAGCACAATAATGTTGTTATTTTGTTGTAACCTCAGCAAACTACAACTGTACGTGTGTGCTTACATGCACCCAGGTTTTCAGACACGGAAATTTATTTTTGGCAATCAGCAGTCAACATTAACAGTGCATAAAAATGTTTAAAGTCATCTGAGGGACATAAACCAAAAGGGAGTAATGGAAAATTAATTGAAGCACGCAAAATAGTTGAGACTCGGCACACAAAAGGAGGATTTATTCAAGGAGATGCAATAAAACTATTTAATCCGAACTGCGATCAGATCGCGACTGTGGAAAGAAACAAAGAACTAACCCCGCAAACAACCCTCCGCTTGGAGGAGCTGTAGCCAAGGAGCCAAACAAAGAACCGCCGGTGTTCGTAGATCCGGAAAACGGAGCTGCGCCGAGAAGACTGCCACCAGTCGTTCCGAATGCGGCAGCACCACCAACTCCAAAGGCGGGCTGTGTAGCAGCTGCACCAAATCCAGAACTGTCGAACAATGGACGGGAACCGAATAGACTACCAGTATTAGTAGATGGGGCGGTTCCGCTTGCGCCTCCTCCAAAAAGTCCACTGCCTGTTGTGGAACTTGCAGGGGCACCAGGACTACCAAAGAGACCACCACTCATAAGACTAGTAGATGCTGTTGCTGGGGTGGGTGCAACCGTGGAACTACCGAAAAGTCCGCCAGCAGAGCTCGTTACGGAGACGGAGCCAAACAGTCCACTAGTTGTGGACGTGGCACCAAAGAGACCACCTGTACGTGAACTCGGTGAGGTGGTGTTGGCGCTCAATGTTGATCCACCAAAGAGGCTTCCACCGCTGGGAGTGGGTGAGGCTGATCCAAACAGACCTGAGGACGTAGGCAGGGAAATTAGAAACCACAAACACAATTCTTTGGTTAGCTCAGCGAAATGATCGAGCAGTTCAATCTGAAAGGCTGTGATCCTCATTGCGCACAAAGTAAACAATTCAAACGATGAAAAACGTAATGAGTAAATAAACTATAAATTGGGAGAAAAAAATGATGTTTTATGTGTGAAGTCACATATGCTGAGCGTTGGAAAATTCTAAATTAGACCAAGGGAAATGACCTGTCGCAGAAAAAGTTTATAGCAGAAATAGTTTTCTGCAAAGGTGTTTTATGATTACACATTTTGTGGTGAACAATAGATAAAGTGAACCCTTTAATTGGGAAAACCTATTATTCAAGAGTGGGAACCAGCAAACTAAGCACCGAGACCTGGAGAGACAAACAGCATAAGGTCCCACTAGGATAGGCGTGGTATGGAATCGGACGAAGGCCAAGCTGTCTGCAAGTTGGGTGTCGGGGTTAGAACCAGGCACCATAAGGTCCTAAGTATGCCGGTGTGTGACCACTGGGCCACCACCACCTAAACAGTGTTATTCCAGGTAAAACTCATCCATGATGTGCACCCAACATCTCCTGACCTCATGTTGTATAGACTTAACCCAATGCATCGATCGTGACGGCGTCTAGAGAGTTCCGATACATATACTCACACTTCATTGACAGGAAATGCCGCACTGGAGTGGATTTATATTTTTTCTAAACTGAAAACGGGTGCAACAAAAGCGATTTAAACTGGAAGGTACCTGGACTGGCAGTCGCTGCCCCCGAGGTTGGTCTACCGAAGACATTCTGCACAGGATTCTGCGGAACTCCAGTTGGTGAACCCAACCCAAACGTTGATCCGGAGAACAGGCTAGATTGAAGGTAAGAGATAACGGTGAAGAATTACGCGGTGTGAAAAGATGAAAGCAATTATTTAATCAGTACGCAATTCTAAAGAACTTCTCATGGACTTAGAGTCTGGTGTTACAATAGCGACGGAATGGCACAAAAGAAGCTTCCGGCATACTGAAATCAATGAAAGGCGAGTCCTCGCGACTATGGGCTGAACCCCGTCTGCTGTTACAAAAATGCACGATATAAAAAAGTAAATGGTACCAATGTGAAACTTGTGAAAAAGGGTTGCAACAGTGTGTCTCAAACGGCGACCGTAGCAAAATTACCGAAACACAGCATATGTGCGAAAAACGAACCATTGCACTATCTGTGGAATGGTTTCAACGACCATTGTTGATTTTACATACGATGGAGATGTTTGTGATAACCGATACCGAGCACTGGACAGCTGTATCGTCCTGTTTGGAACTCGTCGGTAGTGCGTACTTTTTGTGTCGCTAGCAGGAGTCGAACCGTGAACTTACGGGTTGGGACTTCAAACCCCTGCCCTTGAGCTACACGGTCGACGGTTATCAAACCTTGTGCGAAGGGCAGCGACACAAAAAGTACGCACTGCTGACTATCCAGTGCGCTTTGTCGCTTATTACAAACGTCTCCACCGCATGTAAATGCATGAACTTGGGGGGAATTAACGACCTCCCAAGCAGTTAAACTCACACCCAAGACCAATCGTGTCTACTGCCTCTTAACAATCGAATGAACTCGTCGAAGCTTGCTACTCTAAAACATTTGTTGGTGTATTCAGGGCCAATTTTCACGAGACTGCACCTTGGCGTGGTGTGATGGCTTGTGCACATCCCTGACCCAACGAGTTACACAGCATGGCTTTTGTCAAGTCAAGAGATCTTATCATGCCTGGAAGGTGAATGGGTAGAGGTCAAAGTTCAGTCTCCTGGTCCTCCAGGTTGGGGATTCGACTAGAATTTGCATTTCAGTGGATATAAAATAGTGGAGGAGTAATTTACATAAGCAAATGGGCCTCCATTTCGCTTCATCCGCTGCCTCGCGGCTAGGCTCTTGTCAGAACTAAAGGGTGGTTGAGAACTCTAATCGTCCTCCAATACAGAGGCTGGACACCCTAGTAGTACCTGTCCATCAAACTCCAAAGCATATACATTGCGGGTTTAGCAGCAATTAGTGAAGTTCGCTTCCCTGTATTTCACGGAAGCGAACCTATACATTTTTCAATCCAAGATGTTGGAGTATCAATTTAAGAGGCCATGTTGCTATGTGGATAGTATGATAGTGCGACTGCTCCATCGTTTCACATTGTCTGGTACTGTTTGTGATGCTCTTGTGGTCACGTGCAATCCATCCGTGTGGTAATGGCACACCTGATGTACAGTCGAAGTTCACCGGGCCTGCGGTTGCAGACAAGGTGTGTTTTCTCGCTCGGGTTAGCTGGGTAAGCACCAAGTCCCTTGTTGTAGCTGGCCTATTCGACCGATCGATAAATGAACCCGATCGCTCATGTGATTCTCGGGCCGGCATAAGACTGATAAGTTCTCAGTCCTATGCTGATTAGGTGTTGGTAGAGAACCCCCAAAGAAGAATCAGTTGTGGAGCGATGCGCAATGTGGGAAATTCGGAATGGAAAAAGTTCCCGCGATGATGACACTATGTCAACGTTTGACTCATCTAAGATACACACACTATTTTTCTGAAAGGTTTCGGCAAACGGATAATCATAAGAAAATTGTGAACTTGTCTTAACTACGGACTACAATATCCACTAATATGGTCCAAGACAAAACTCTTCTTGATATTTTCCCAACTGGCTTTCTTCGTAGAACGATCTCGCTACCTACGTCGGAGATTAAATTCCGTTGGAGAGATCAAGCATTATGAAAAAGTGCATACTTATTTTACAAAAGTTTTCTGTCCCGAGCCATTCCTTTATGGTGATTCTCTATCAACACTTGAGCAGGGTCTATTCCAGAACGAATCCTCCTCGTGTGTTGGCCCGAGAATCACCCGACCGATCGGGTTCATTCATCGATCGGTCGAATAGGCCAGCTACAACAAGGGACTTGGTGCTTACCCAGCTAACCCGAGCGAGAAAACACACCTTGTCTGCAACCGCAGGCCCGGTGAACTTCGACTGTACATCAGGTGTGCCATTACCACACGGATGGATTGCACGTGACCACAAGAGCATCACAAACAGTACCAGACAATGTGAAACGATGGAGCAGTCGCACTATCATACTATCCACATAGCGACATGACATCTTAAATTGACAATCCAAAATCTTAAGTTGAAAAAGGTAGAGTCGATCACTTGGTAAATGAAGCTATGAAGATTGGTTTGGAGCATTTGGGAAAAACATTTGTGCCAAACTGAGTGCACAAGGACATACATACATTGATCAGAATACTGAGGCTGTTCTGTATAAAGTTTTCGCCGCCTTAGGAACAGCTCCAGAATGTCTGATCTTGGCACGTTTTCCGTCGATGAGCAGACAGTCGTACGCATCGATGCTAAACAAGACTACTGATGCAGTGGTAACAGCGATTCCGCCATCGGCTGCTAGTAGAGTGAACTAAAAATCACCAGAGAAAGCTGTAGTTGAAACTAATTTCTTCGAATTTGGTTGTTTGGCAGATTCGTTTGGATTTCTTGCGCAATGCTTTTCACATTCAAACCAAATTTAGTCAATTTGTACAAGGTTTACTACAACTGACGGGACGATTTGGGGACCATCAACAAAACAATTATCTATTGTACAATCTTCAGCGATTGGAGACAAAAGCAGACCCCTACAGTGGATCCGACGAATGTGTAGTCAGAGTCGAGGCGAACTGATTCGCGAACCACGGCACCTAGAAATGCCACCTCACAAGCGCTGATAATGTCACCTCGGCTGGTGATGAAACGTTTGAAAACGAATTGCCAAGCTCGGCGAACACGCGAAATAGAATTCAGTTCACCCGGGCTACGAGAACCAATTTTCAATATTTAAGCAATGCATATTAATTGCGGTTAGGTAAGCAGCGAAAGCCTCAGCATGGTCGGGGATGGGTGTCTAGGGTTGCGGCTGGTCACCCTACCCTTGCACCTCATGAAATGCTCCCATACGACCAAGCGTCTAAAATAGCCTCTGCTGGGGAAGCCTTACTCACTGCCTTCTCGTGGCGGATTTGTTTTCGCACCGAAGTGAGAGGACGAAAAGCCGACATCCAGGGCTACAGTCGGATTGGTGGACCATTGATAGTTCACCAAGGGAGTTGGCCAAAAACCCTGGTTCCAAACCAACCAAGGGGGTGTATAAATCACACCTTTTCGGTTGTGGCAATGANCGCATGATCCGATGAACCGGACAACGGCTCCCAATGGATTGCGGTTTTCCCACACCGCCCCGCTGCCTTGCAGGTCAGGATTTGGCTAGCCGAAGGCTCCGGTTGTGGATTCCTTAAGAAAATTCACCTGCCTTGACCTGAGCAACCTGGTGGTATTCAGCCCACAAGGCAATCACGGAACGTTTTTCTTTTTTATAAAGATTATTGTACCATGATTTGCTTGGCACACAGTCTGGTCCCAGACACGTGTGAAATATATAATAATAAGCAGCAAAAAGTAGATATTCATGTCATACTCACTTGCTGATTTGAGTTGCTCCCGTATTGGATCCTACAAAGAGAATGATGAAAGAAGTAGAAACAGTGCAGAAATCAATAACACATTCCTTTATAGAGAATTACCAGATTAGGCCAGGTCGTGGAATACTTTGTGTATCCATGAGGTCATTTCTCAACAGAGTATTCATTTGAAACGCTTATGCAGGATGGATCTTAGTCGAGAAAGAAATGGGTGTCAGAACTGGTTTTATCTTCGTCTTTTCTAAACAAGTCTGACATCTTGAATAGATTTGCATCTGGGTCAAACCAAGTAGGTTACGTGTTGATCATACCGATTCACTCTGCGTTCCCTTCGATTAAGCAGCCTGATTCGACTAGGTTCATGTCGCTGAGGAATATTTGTGTTCGTTGGTAGGAAGCTACCATAAGACGTCTGAACACCTTAGTATGGTCGTGGGTGGTTTACTTCGGTGGTAACTGGTCTCCCTCCGCTTGTACTTGGTGAAATTCTCACAATTCGGTTCAGAAAGCCCTACTCATTTCCCCAGGTGTGCGGTGTTGTCCCACACTTCGTCTGCTGTAGGCAGGTAGAAAACTTATCATGGAATTGATCCCAAACATCAACTACCATAATATAACAAGCAGTCAAGTTCAGTGTTTCCAAATGAGTGATTAACCTGGAGGTTGATGATGACATGAACGGGGTAAGATGCCAGCAACAAGCTTGCAGAGATTATTTGCACATGGAAAAAAGAAAGACTGCCTGTCAAGCGGATAGCAAGCTTACGTCGAACCTGTGAGGTAGAATCATCCACTAGTCTCATATAATACACCTACTTACTTTGTTCGATGTCTGAACGCAGGGTGATAAATAAAGTGCGGTCTGATGCGTGTGTTTTGCAGACAGTACAAAACCAAGATGAAAGTTTTCAAAGTTCTAGATGCGGGAACTAGACGAGGAGCACATTTCGGTCTCACTGATGCTCGATTATGTGAAATGCTATCTGTGATAATTATACCCAGAGGAATATACTTTTAAGTGGTGTATGTAGGAGATAACTGATAAGTTCCGAGAGGAGGAATATTAACTAAGCAGAAAAGAGGGATTCTAAGATATGGCGTTGGGACACGACACAATTCGCAGAAGCCCCAAAATATGAGAGGAGAACTCGAATAAATCCGATCCGTAAGATATTGAGGCGTATGTCCAACACGGTGACGTGACAGAAGGACCCGCCACCGACACCCGACTTTGGGGGTAGGCAGCTCTGCTGTCGTTCAGTTCAATACCACACCTAATCTATCGGGGCCTTATTTGGTTCGCCACTCCAAGTCCCGGGGCTTAGGTTGCCGGTTTCTACCACTAAAACAACAAGTCCTTGTGACTATAGGGTTCGCCCCCTCTGCTGTTCATCACATTTAGATGTGTAATAAAAAATTAAAAAACTCGGGTGAGAGTTTTATAAGACATGTCACAGAAGAACTTTCTTAAAGTTTTGGTAAACCGTTCGGAACGGGACCGAAGATGCTACAGGGAAATATTAACGGGACAACACTAAGTTGGATGGGGCCTGACCAGAATGGTCGGGTGGCAGTATGAAGTTCTCCAACCGCTTGGAGACAATCCCAAATAAACGAAATTCTATATCCACGTAATGGATCTTTTCATCGGTTTACAGAACGTCCCAGTGTTTGTTCCCTGACGTGACCGCTCCAGAGGTGGAGCCCAATGGGCTGACCCTGTAAGACTGCTTTATCTGGCCGCCTCTCAACAGCTTGTCACGCATAGTTGTTCAAAGCCAATCTGAATAAGTTACAAGCTTATGGAGCCACCCAAATGTTCGCAACACGTCACGTGCAGTTTCAGCTTGATGGTTCTAACTTGAGATAACTTTGGCACCACTGTCACATTCATTTGACTGTGAAGAACGGAGTGCATGCTGTCCGGCCAATGTAACTAAATGATACAGAGAGGATTAAGACAGACTATCGGTGTTCAAACATCAATATCTATACCGCATTGCAGTATTCTGGTGAAGCGACTGGGCCAGTAATGTCCATAATAGGTGCAAAGCTTCAGTTAATCGCGATCACGTATAACTTTTTATTGATAGAGAAGAACCCCTTAGAAAACCAAGATTAAAGAAGGTTCAAATAGGATGTCGCCGGAATGATGACAATGAAAGAGGACCGATTTAGACTTAGCAATCAACTGATATCCACTTTATTTACAGTGAACTAGTGCTGTAATTATACCACAAAAAACGAAAAAATTACAGACAGAATCAAGCTATGGCGAACGAATAAACCTAAAAAGTGAAAAGATAAATGCAAAGCGGCAGTGCGGGGTCAGAATGCAAGGGATTAGCATATGAAAGGCTATGATGTACACAAACAGGTGAAAGCTGATAAACATTGCACGACAATGGATGAACCAGATCTGTGATAACTCCCGACAGGTCATATTTCTGCCATTTTGAGAAATTTACGTAGCACGTGACGGTGATAGGATACTACGACCAGCGACGCATAACGAAACCAGAAAAAAACAGTTGTGGACGAGTAGCGTCCACAAGCGATGACATGAAGGGTTTTCGATTTGTCCACGACAAGCAAACCAACCAAGAAGAGGCGCACGAACCACACACCCTCCTCGGTGTGGCAGTGGTTACCGGCTCGTTTGGGCATCGAGGTGTATTGGGCACCTTGGACGTTTGACCCTGTGCAAAGGGTGTATGATCCAATGAACTGGACTGGATTGCGGTCTTCACACACCGCCCCACTGCCTTGCGGGTCAGGCTTTGGCTACAGGTAATCGTTGTTTGTGCAAAGGCTGAAGGTGGATTTTCTAGGGAACAGACCAAGTGGTACTGAGAATGCCACCTTATGATAAACTCCCAAGGCTACAACACAAATTTGGATTACATTAATAACTTGCATAATTATACCCCGAGGATTAATCGCAATGCGATAAGAGAAAGAGTTCAATGTGTCAAATAATACTAGGTAACGATGAAATCAATGAAACTTACCAAACAGGCCACCGCTAGCACTCGTGTTCTGTTGTGTTCCGCTGGTCAACGTCGAGAACAGTGAGCCTGTTTGTTGTGATTCAGCGGATGAAACCACAGTCGGCTGAGTCGGGGATGACGTGGTTGTGGTTTTAGATCCAAACAGATTCAGAGTTTGGGGTGGGGTAGCTGGGCAGTGGTTTGAGTTGGGGGAGGCAGAGTGAATGCAATTATAGAGTTTAGCAAATCATCGGCGAAACCAAACTCACTGATAATTTTTACAATGCCAAAGGGCGGTTTACAGTCGCCGAAAAGCTCGCCTCAACGCACAGAATACGAATTACATGGGAATGGATTAACCACGGATAAAACGCAAATGCGAAAAAAAATTTCCAAGATGTGAACATTTCTTTTAAAATCTCCCGTCGCCGGTTCAAAGAAGCTGACATCTATATAAAGCACGTGGGGTTGATTAATCATGAAGAAACGTGTACCCACAGACAAAAATGACTAAAAATGGGACCTTGTGGTAAGTAGACTGCTTGCTGTTTATATGCTAGCTGGTTCTACGTATGCGATAAAGGAGATTAAATGAAATACTAACATCGCGTAACAGTAGTCTTTTCGGGCACTGATGCAATAGGCAACGGGGGAGGGGGGGGCAGTGCTACAAAAGTGCTTACGTTCCACGTGATTTTCTAGCGGATCCCGACTGCTTGTAATTATCCAGCAAACGTATGATACAATACAGATCAGCCAGTTTCTAGAACAGAAATCAGCTTTGCTTTCGTCCGAGGGATTATTCCATGTGGTCTCTCCGAATATTTTGAATAGACCATAACAAGACTTGTTTTCAGTGATTCGTCTTCTTAGGCTAATACATCACAATTTATATAACTTGGGTAAAATATGGGAGGACGGAGATATAACTTACGAAAAATGACCATAATAAATTAATACAGTTATAGGAATATACATAATGTCTGCTGTTTCCGGAGTGGTGTTTAGTCTGGATTTGCTGAAGATTAGAACGGGCGGGTGAAAAAGAGGTGGGTGGAGGGCCATGGGAGACAATGTTTTCACAAATTGTCTTTGCGCACGCAAGGGTGGAATGTAAATGCGAATTCCCACTGTTTCCGCTGAGGTCAGGATGTGATGTTTATTTCGCTTAGATTGCTGTTCACAAACCTGGTATAGGGGACGAAACGCTGTGATCAACTCGACTAAATGACCTGACTCAACAAGGTGTAAGTAGATTGCGCTCGTGAAAGACTGTCACCCCGAGCCGGATGATGCTCATGAACTCTCTGAGTCAAGCATCTGCTCGTGAGACCGATATCCGTTGTTCCACAGGAAGAAGAGGAGTNAACACAGAACGAGATCGCAGAAACGGGAACTTTATCTCGAAGCTGCAGCCTGAGGGCCGGTCTGGATGCGTATATGACACGCAATTTCGCTGCATGGAAAGTTTGACTGATCACTGTTGTCAACGTTCGAGTAACCATTTCCGTCATAGTGTCACTTATAAATGGAAATCTTATGTACACACTTGTTTCTTTTCTACTCTGACAATTTCACCCTCGTCTGTCTGGCGTTTTAATATGCTGCCCACAAATCGATCCGAGTATCTATTTTGTTGGAAGACCTGGCGCAGGAAGTCGAATACGTCCTGAACTGCATCAGCCGAGCAGAATTTTTGCGCCCTCTTAGCGAGACATTGAATCAAGTTTCGCTTTCTTTTGAGAGGTCCGAAACTTTGAAAACGAATGTACTTACACGAATACTCAAGTCTCTCTTGGGGAGAGTGCTTTTATCCAAACAAGATAAGAAACACCATGACCTGAAGCTATGGTCGGATTAAAAAGCTACGCTGAGCTACCAGCTCATCTAGAAAAGTTGGAGAAAACTTTGATTCGAAACAGGTCGAAAAGAATCACACGAATCGGATCCGGGATTTAGGGTCGATGTGTCATGGCGTAGGGGGTATGAAAAAGCTGGCTTCAGCTTTGGCTTCGGTTGGTGCAACCCGCCTTCCAGGTTGGGGCCCAATGGATGAGGATTGTCGTTGGTTAGAGANGAGATATGGCCCAGAATAGAAATCAGTGGCGCGAATGCTGTACGGTCTGCCTGTCGAAATACCGTGCCTCATAAAAAACAACCAACACAAAAAATATCAAGAAAAGCACGGTGAAAAACGCAAATGTTTTCGTTATTCCATTTATCTACCATTTTCTCGTGTTTAACTGTTTCTCCATCTTTCCACTTTCTTCTGTATCACAATCCACCT